GTTTCCCAGACAAGAAAAAGTTAAAGGAGTTCATCACCACCAAACCATTATTATATGAAATGATGAAGGGTCTTTTTGAAGAAAAAGATACAATATATGAACAAACAAAATGGCAATGAATACATATCTATCAACAATGGAATCTACAAACAAAATGAACAGGTAGAACAGAAACATTCTCATAGATACAGAGAACATTTTGTTGGTTGCCAGTTGGGAGGGGGGTTAGGGGAATGGGTGAAAAAGGTGAAGGGATTATGAAGTACAAATTCATTGCTAGACTGACAAACTTCCAAGGGAAAGGGGTTGGGGGTGGGGTGGGAAGAAATAAACCAAAGAACTTATATGCATAACCAATGGACACAGACAATAGTGTGGGGAAAGGAGGGAGGGGGGTGGGAGTGGGGAGGAGGGGGTCAATGGGGGAAAAATGTGGAACATCTGTAATACATTTTACATTCAACAATAAAGATTTAAAAAAAAAAAAGAGTCATGGGTTTGCTTCTGGTCAGGGGCACGTACCTCAGATGCGGTTCTGTCCCTGGCCCTGGTCGGGTCGTGGGGGAGGCAACCACTCCATGTGTCCCTCTCACATTGATGTTTCTCTCTCTCTCTCTCTCACGCTCTCTCCCTCCCTCCCGCTCTATCTGAAGATAAATGGAAAAATATCCTGGGGTGAGGATTTAAAAAAAAATGATGACACATAGGAAATGTTTTACAGTACTCATAATTGATAGCTATTATCTGAATAATGGCAATAATAACCCATTATCACATAATTAGGAGATGAGAGCAATACAGAGAAATGTATTTAATAGTACTGCATGGTCCTCACAGATGAAACTTCAGATGAAATGAAAAGACAACAAGACTTAAACATTTATGAGTTTAGTACTCAGGACTCAACATTTCTCAGAAAAAATTATTGAAGTCAGTCAGAAAATTGAATGTATTTAAATAACAAAATCCATACATTCCTATAACATTTTAAAAGTTGGCCAACATTTTTTAGGAAGGGCCAGATAGCAAATATTTTAGGCTTCATTATAATTTAGGGCCATACACTCTCTGTGGCAAATTCTCAACCCAGCCACTGCAGCACAGAAACAGTTCCATACACAGTACTTAAATGCTGAGCATAGATATGTTCTAAATAAGTAAAACCTTGTCTATGGGCACTGTAACTTGAATTTAGTATATTTTCACATATCACAATTATCCCACTCCAACCATTTAAAAAGGTAAAAATCACTCATAACTCGAGTGATATAAAAACTAGTGGCTACACGAGCCATTGTCTGCTGATCCCTCATTTAAGAGAAGACGTATACTTTGATTTGAAATAGCAATAAGGACTTATACCATGTAGTTAAGAAATGAGGCTACATTGACTTAAAAGAACTATATTTTGAATTAAGTGACTTGTAAATAACTACACAACTGTCATTCTCAAAATATCCTCTTATAGAAATCTTTATGATTTGGGGTACTTTCACTTTAGTAGAACTAAGTCACATTTTAGCATGATGTTTATCCTGAGAATGTCGGTACTTATATATTTCTAACTAATTTTATTACTCAATTATCCAGAACTAATAATCAGCAAGCTTGGAAATGTACAAGTTCAAGGGGGCAGGGGGTTCCAGGGTGGAAGTAGGACCTGTGAGAAGAGGCATGTAAACCAGAAGAGAAGCGGTCATCTGAGAAAATAGCAAAAGTTTCCGATCCAGAAGCCGTGATATGGATGAAGAACAGCCGTAGGAGAAGTAAGCGGAAGTAAAGGGGAAAGGCAGGGTTTGTCAGAAGAGAGTTCAGAGTTCAAAGGTGATCGGTCATTTTCTCCCTCCGCTTTATTGAGGTACAATTGACATATAACATTCTATAAGTTAAAGTTGTACAGCATATTGATTTGATACACTTATATATTTAAAAATGATTACCAAAGTGGTAGGTCATTTCGAACAGCTATAACCCAAAACTCTACTCTTGGGGACATTTCATCTGACTTTTATTTCTTTTTTTTTTTAGACATTAGATCTGTGTGATTCTGAGCATACATTTTATAGTTATACCACCTCCATTTGAAGCCCAGTTCTGTTGTTCATTAGCTGGGTTATTTTGGTTAAGCCACGTTTCGTTGTGCTATGATTTTCTCATTCACTAACGGAATATTAAATATTCCTCTCCTGGGCTTGTTGTGAGGACTAAATGAGGGAATTATTTACAGTTGTTCAATGAATATTAGTTTATTATTATGAATAAGGTTTGAGGACAGTGTTGGGAGGGTCAGCTGCACAGATCTCAAAGTTGCTGACCATGGTGGTGGGGCCTGCCGTTCAGACAACTTTGGATCCGCGGCCTAAGCCTTTGGGGAGGGTGGGATGACACCTTAGAGTTCTGCTGATGTCGGTGACGAGAAGACAGAGTTCTGTAAATATATGGGGTGAAGTGATGGAAGATGCTATAATAATGGTGTGAAATGGTTGGGAACCTCTACATTCAATAATGTTGTCAGTTCTTATCTTCCCCAAAATATTTGATGTCTTCTGTGCTTTTTTCAGCATCAACCCCCAAAGTCAGATGAGAGAAAGTTCTAAGTGTTATAGAGAATGATATTAAGTGACTCAGTAAATATAAGTGTGGAATTAATGCCTCTTTTTTTTCCCTTCCTGGTTTTGTGCCTGAGTAGTACTTTTAGCAATATTATTTATCTCTATCAAGTTATGCTACAATTATCAAAGTATATTAGATTTCAGAAATTTGTCTCAATTGCAACCTTATTCTTTATCTACTTAGGAAGCTAAGGCTCAGGTATATATAATCAATGTCTCCCACTTTGCTTCTATATCTGGTTCACCACATGGTGTTCTTCTCCAAGTTCCTTCTGTTGATTTTCCTGTCTCTTCATCCCAGATCCTCACCTGCTGCTCCGATGGTTACATGTGCTATGACTTTTCTCTTGCCCACCTGGTTCTCACCTTGTTGCCTGCTGACTTCCGGTAACTGCCTTTCCTCCCTCTGTCCGGGCACTCTTCTGGTGACTTCTGTGGCTACTCCCAGACCCAGGTGGCCCTAGATTTTTATTACTCTGCCTTTTAATTAACTGGTAAGATTCATGCTGGTCTTTAAAGTCTTTTATTGAATTATTTGTATATAACACTTATTTTTAATAAAATCATAACAATGTCAAACAAAAAATAATACGTGAAATGGAAATTTGTATGGTGTAAATTGATTGAGAAAAATAGCTTCAGAATGTATCAAGAAATAACCAAGATGAAAATTAAGAAGAAAGTTAGGGTTATAGATGTTCACATTCTCTATTGGTTAGGTGACAGAATATTAGAGATCTTTTTTCTTTGTTTATTTGGACTCTCGTGTTCTGTTTAATCTTGCTTGTGTTTCCACGAGTAGTGTGTTGTGGTTACCCTTGTTTGTTTTTGTAGCCATAAGGCTAATATGGACTTATAATAAACGAATGCCAGTTAGATGATGAAATTTCTGGTTTCTTTGTTTTATAACTATTGTAATGATAAATGATAACTCTGTTTGAATTGGCCTTATTGTGTCATTGGCGTAAAGCCTAGTAACAGTCACTATTACAACAAACATAGCAGTGATCTTAAGATTGCGGGGTAAAAAAGAAACCTGTCGTGAGTTTTAGAATATTAGTAATGAAATTTAAAAATTTAAAATGCCCAAACTTCTCAGGCTTGTCTTTTACAACATTTCCCTCCGTCTTTTGGCAATACTAAGCAGATGCTGGGGTACATGAGATCAGTTTTTCTCTTAACTATTGGACACAGTGATCCATCAGCCTCCTGATTCAGATGTGATTCTTCCATCTGGCAAGAGTGGGGAATGCACACACCTTTATCACAGAATAGCAACAGCCCTGGATGTCCCTATCCTGTCATTCCCGTGAGGGCTTTATGACACCTGAGGCTGATTGTGGCCTCATTTTGCTCCATTCCTTACCAATGGATGGAGGGACTTTTCCATCCTTTGCAGGATTGTCACTTGTGCAGTTTTCTGGAGTTCCTGTTCCTAAAATCCCTTCAGAAATTCTCAGTGATGTCTTAGGGGGTCTTAGGCCTCATTTGGAGGCTGCAGCGGGAGATACATTGTGTACAAACAAGTAAGATAGATGTAAGAAAAATCAATTTGAAATCTCTCCTTGGGTCCTAAGTTATCCTCATCTAAAATATATAAATGAAAAATAATAGTATAAAATCATTCTTATTGGCTCCCCAAAGGGTACCCACACCTGTCTTTTATTAAATATCAATTTTCTTAGCTAAGGTTGTATGAAGTCTTGAATCACAGCATTTGTAATGAAGATTTAAAGAATATAGCCAGTAGAAAACTCTCAAGCTCTATTCTTGTGTAATAGGCTTCAAGTTGAAATGATTCAGTTATCATTTACGGAGGGACTTTTCTCAGCAGGCACTGTGCTAAGTATAAGCATACAATGGTGAATAAGACCATCTTTGTCCCCAAGGACATTATATAGCTCAGTAATGGAGCCTGAGAGGTAGATGAACAATTGCACTGTGGTTATGTCCAACTTGGCAAATTACTTGATCTCCCTAAGCCTCAATTTTCCTGATCTATGACAGGAGACTCTCTTTAAGGTTGTTAAAAGTAAATGAGATAGTAAATTTAAAATGCTTAGCTTAGAGCTCAGCGTATGTAGCAAGAAATACTGTAGAAGCATGAGAGTGGTACCTTATCTCGGGGGAGTGGGCTTGGGGAGATGCCAGGAAAAGCTTCTCAGAGGAGGTGGTGACTGTGATGAAGCTGAATTCTGAATACTGAGGCAGAAGAAGAATGGTAGGAGGTAAGACAGTCGTCTTTTGTTGCTTGATCTTCCATCTTTGACTGAGCATTAAACTGCACTGTTAGTATGTTAATATATTGTATATAATGCCTCAAGAACATGAAAAATAATGTTACGCAGTTCTATTTTATATTAAGCTTTATCCTTAATTCTCTTTCAGAGAATCAAAGAGGGCAGCATAATTGATGCAGTGAAAACAATCTGTGTAGGAGATCATATTGAATCCATAAATGGAGAAAGTATTGTTGGGTGGCGTCATTTTGATGTTGCTAAGAAGTTAAAGGAATTAAAAAAAGAGGAACTCTTTACCATGAAGTTAATAGAACCGAAGAAGGCATTTGGTAAGTTGGTTTTGTGTGTGTGTGTGTGTGTGTGTGTGTGTGTGTGTGTGAAATGATTCTTTCCCCTGAATTATCTTTCATTTTTTAAAAATCATTTTATTACCATTTATAACATTTATAACATAGTTATATTTTTCAGAGCTCTGTGCCAAATTCTTTTTGTTTAAAACAATTTTTTCTCAATGACAGTTTATATTAATATTGTATGTATTGGATTCAGATTTACAGCATAGTGGTCGGACAGTCATATACTTTACAAAGTGCTCCCCTGAAATTTCCAGTTTCCCTGACTTGTCCTCTCAGGGAGATGAGCACAGCGGTGTGGTGCCACGTGCTTCTGCTGTATTGGTTAAAACCACAGGAAATAATAAATAGTACTACTTATAAAGAAAACAACCACTGCAGGGAAAAAATGTTGCCTACAAGGGCATTTTCTTTTTTTTCTTTTTTTTTTTTTAATCCTCACCCGAGAACATTTTTCCATTTTTTGTTCAGATAGAGCGGGAGGGTGAGAGAGGAAGAGAGAGAGAGAGAAACATCGATGTGAAGGGACACATCGAGTGGCTGCCACCCGCACGACCAACCAGGGCCGGGGACAAACTGCAACCGAGGCACGTGCCCTTAGCGGGAACCGAACCCGGGTCTCTCAGGACCGCAGGCCGACGCTCTAACCGCTGAGCCAAACCGGCCAGGGCTACAAGGGCATTTTCTAAAAAAGGCATCTGGGCCTGGTTGGTGTGGCTCAGTGGCCTGAGCATTGTCCCATGGACCGACATCCCAGTTCGATTCCTGGTCAGGGCACGTGCCCAGGTTGGGGGCTCGATCCCCAGTGTGGGTGTGCAGGAGGCAGCTGATCAATGTTTCTCTCTCATATCGATGTTTCTATGTCTCTCTCCCTTCTTCTCTTTCTAAAAAAAAATTTTTTTTAAAAGGCATTTGGGGTCATGGAGTCTTTAAATTTGATGTGGCTGTTCCAAATGATGACAGCACACTGTACTGTATTCATCTTCCTGAGCACTAAGATTTTTATTAAGCTCTCTAAACTCTATTAACGGTCATGCATGGACTTCAATAGCAAAAACTTTAGTTACACACAGAATTGGTATTTAAAATACTTATCTAGTCTATTTTAAAGACTTCCTTCAATACTTTTCCTCCACTGGCATTCTGGATTGGCAGGGTGGGATGGTATGAAATTACTTTGGTGTGACATCTGTACTTGCTTGGTTTTAGCCATGGCAGCTGTGTTCCAGCTCTTGTTCAAACCCCTGGGGCCATCTCATCTCCAGGAAAATGTGCCAGCTTCTCTCAGTACCCAGCACTATTTTAATGAGCCAAACGACGGCCTAGTGTTCATCAGTGTTAAAATATCTTCAGAATCATTCTGGGCCTGCCCTTACTCATTTGTGACCCCACCCACGTGCTGTTCTCGCCTTTGCTCACAGAACATAAACATTCCTTGCAGTTTGTCTAATGGCTATTTTCTTGGGGTAATGACAATGATGGGAGAATGCAATAGGTCTGGGGAATTCTGTTTCTCCTTCCTTTAGCAAGTAAGTGGCAAGTTCTAGCCATACGGAACTGGACATTTTTTTTTTTTCGGCTTCCAGGTGATTCTGTGCCATTTAATAGAAATACAGTGTAGGTTATATTACTTGTGGGAGACAGAGTTCCAAGAAGATGTAAGAAAAGAATGCTTTATGCCAATGCTGTTCCTGGAGGGATCATTCTAGAAATCACTGCCATGGACACGTAATGCGGCATGGCTCACTGCCGCGTCTGAGCACACTTCGCGCAGAGGACGGTGGCCAGCACCTGGGTTTCTATCCAGCAGCTCCTTTTGAAGTGGCTTTGCTTGGTCACCAACTTCCCAGGTGTCACAGCATATAAACTGATAGCATGTAGGCAGTCTGTAGACTCTGTAAATCGAAGTCATTCTCATAGTATAGTCCAAGGAATACAATGTTCATTCTGCATTTATCTCTACCACATAATCTTGTTTTCCAAGTTAATCTCTCCCTGTTTTTCTTTGTTGCCTTCTAAGAATTCCATGAACAGATTTGAGAGGGACACTGGGTATGCTTTTCCTAATGAAGGTATGTTATTTCAGCATCCCAAATTCTGGTGTTGCTGTGGGTTAGGATACCTGGAGGTTGATTTTGGAACCATAACAGTTTTTCATTTCCCAAGGTTTCTATGGCAGCTGAACACAACTTAAGTCTGCTGGTCGATATGCATTTTCCACTCTGTGGGTTGGTTCTTGTCTCTGAGCCCAGCCTGGGGACTTTTCTCTTAGAAGTAGGCCTTACTGGAGATTCCAAATGGGCGGCAGAGTGAATGGAAGCTACACAGACCAATTTCAAACTGGAATTACAACTAAAATGAAGACAAATCGCCGGGAAAAAGCAACAGAAAAGCAGCTTGCAAGGACCATATAACCAGGAACACTGAATTGATCCTGGTAGGATTGTGGAGCCGCAAGAGCGGGGCTGGGAGCCCATGGACAGCAGTGGTCTTAGCTGTGAGCAGCACCCTCAGGGTTAAAGTCCCAAGCTGGTTCCACAGCGCAGAAGCTAAGACAGAGCACTAAATTAGCCATAGCCACACACCTTGGGCTCCGGCAAAGGGAAGATGGACTGGACTGGAACTGTGGGGACACTCGGGATTAGGAGGGCACTCAGAGCTTTTGCTGAGTCACAGTCACACAGGATGGTGGCAATCTTACTCCTTCCCAGGGCTCGGGGAGAGACAGCAGCCCCTCCCTCGGAGATTCAACCCCACCCAGGTGGGCCAAAGAAATGCAAACTGAGGGTCAGGGTCATTAACAACCAGCATCTGACCCACCCTCAGGAAATCCTCTTCTGCTGAACACCTGACAGACTTTTTATTCAACTGAGAAGCCAACGCTCTTCAAGTAACCGAGACTAATAGCCTCCAGGCAAAAAACTAGAGGATAACTGAACTATTCCTGGGCTTGCAAATCTACCCAGGAAAGTAAGACTTGACAGTGGTGTTTAACGTGGGTCCTCCCACATTTATCCAAACTCAGTAGAGGGAGCCACAAACAGCATAACACCAACACCCACAGGGAAAATTTGGCAGGCTCCAAAACCCACTGAGATAGCCAAAATGGTGAAATAAAGAAACAAATCCCAAATGAAAGAACAAGAGAACTCTACTGAAGATGAGATAAATGAAATGCAGGTAAGCAAGTTACCAGGGGTAGAATTCAGAGCCATGATCTTGAGGAAGCTCAACAGCATGAGTAAATGAAGAATGACATAGCAGAAATTAAGAACACATTGGAAGGACTAAACAGCAGAGTAGAGGAAGCTGAGGACGAAATCAGTGAATTAGAAGACAGGGTAGAAAAAAATCAACCAATCAGAAAACCAAAACAACAATTAAAAAACAGAAAGCTTAAGAGAACTGTGGAACAACTGAAAATGTAATAATATTTGCTTCATAGAAGTTCCTGAAGAAGAAGAAAATGAGCTAGGGTTAGAGAATATATTTGAAAAAACAGTGACAGAAAACTTCCCTAACTTGGTGAAGAAAGAAGGCATTCAAGTTCAAGAAGCACAGAGAGCCCCAAGTAAGAAGAACCCAAACAGGCCTACATGAAGACACATAGTAATTAAAATGCCAAAAATTAAAGACAAAGAGAGAATCCTAAAGGCAGCAAGAGATAAGCAACAGGTTACCTACAAAGGAATCCCCATAAGGCTCTCAGTTGACTTCTCAGCAGAAACACTACAGGCCAGAAGGGAATGGCATGAAGTAATCAAGGTCATGGAAAACAAGGATCTGAATTCAAGACTACTCTATCCAGCAAGGCTATCATTCAAAATAGAAGGTCAAATAAAAAGCTTCCCAGACAAAAAAAGGCTAAAGGAATACATTAGGACCAAACCAGCACTGCAAGAAATGTAAAAAGGACTGCTGTAATTAGTAGAAGAAATAAGAAGAAAAAATATAACCACACTAAACAAAAATGGCAATAAATAAGTACACATCAATAATCACCTTAAATGTAAATGGATTGAATGCTCCGGTAAAAAGATAGAGTAGCTGATTGGATAAGAAAGCATGACTTATATATATGTTGTTTACAAGAGACCCACCTCACAACAAAAGACTCACATAGGTTGAAAGTGAAGGGATGGAAAAAAATCTTCCAAGCAAACGGAAAGGAAAAAAAAAAAAAAGCTGGGGTAGCAATACTCATATCTGATAAAATAGATTTCCAAGTGAAGGCCATACCAGAGACAAAGAAGGTCACTACATAATATTGAAAAGATCTATTTAACAGGAAGATATAATCTTGGTAAATATATATGCACCCAATATAGGAGCACCAATATATATTAATCTTCTGGAGGACTTCAAAGGAGAAATTGACAGCAATACAATCATAGCAGGGGACTTCAACACCCTGCTGATATCACTGAATAGATCATCTAGACAGAAAATTAACAAGAAACAGAGACTCTAAATGAATTACTAGACCAAATGGATTTAATAGATATTTACAGAGAATTACACCCCAAAACTACAGAATTCACCTTCTTCTCAAGTGCACATGGGACATTTTCAAAGATAGACAACATGTTAGGACATAAACTAAGTCTCTACAGGTTCAAGAAGATTGAAATCATATCAGGCATCTTTTCAGATCACAATGGCATGAAACTAGAAATCAATTGCAACAAGAACATACAAAGACATTTGAGCACATGGAAGGCTAAATAGCATGTTATTAAACAATGAATGGGTTACCGAGGAGATCAAGGAAGAAATTAAAAACTTCCTGGAAACCAATGAAAATGAAGACACAACAACACAAAATCTATGGGATGCAGTGAAAGCAGTTCTGAGAGGGAAGTTCATAGCACTACAGGCCTACCTCAAGAAATAAGAAACATTTCTAATAGACTATCTAACCTCACAACTTAAAGAACGAGAAAGTAAACAAAAAGAAAACCCCAGAGCAAGTAGAA